CTATGCTGATTTCTCTTTCAAGGAGCATCTGGATTGAGACTCTCTTGCACGTATGTCCTGGACAATGTACCTGTGGAGCATATTACTAGCTTTTTTATCACTGAATGCCTAAGCTTGTGGGTACCTTTGTGACTTCTTTGATGTTGGCTCTTTTAAGAATGTTAGAACCTGCAGGAGAGTGAGCTCTCAACAGATTCTTTATCAGTCTTTATTCCATTGTGTTAGTTTAAAAATATCCATCATAAGTCAAATTCTAGCATAACAACCAAAATTTAAAAGTCTGAAAACCTCTAGGATTTTAATGAAGAGATCATTTTTCTTAGATGTTGTTTTGTCTGCTAAACTCATATGTATAGGAATTTGGTTGTTTCATCCTGATTGCTTTACATATCCTTTAAATTTTTCTGTTCCTCAATGACCAGGGAAAGACTTGCCATTTTCTGTTTCTTTGTGGTCTATTTCTTGAAAGGTACCAGATTAACTCAGCTCTGATTTCCCAGTGTATCTCTATCTTTCTAAGGAGACATCCAAAGACTGCACAGAAGCAGTATTAACCTTTGCAGTTTTTGCTTTCCACTCAGAGTCCTCTCCTCTTGGGTCATTTTAATTTATTGGAGAGGAATTCCTAATTGCTCTTAATTTATCACTCTCCTGATACTATTACCTTTTCTGATATATTTCACCGGTTTGTTGAGGTTAAGACCAAAAAAATTAAATTAAAATCCATTAAGATGATACCTAGTTTAATTTTTTTCCAGTTCCTGCATACTTCCCCTCACCCACAACCACTTTAAGGTATTTAAAGAATCTTTCATTGTTGTGGCTTTTTCTAAGGTCCACCTTCCATCACTGTCTACTTTAGATTGTCTCAGTTCATGTTTACGCCCTCTTAGTATGTTTCAAATGTCTTCTCTCTTTCTTCTTTGTAGTATGATGATTTATAAATAAGAAGCATTCTGTTTTTTCCATGGCAACTTTCTGTTATTGTCCTTCATGTGACACTTCTTCATTTATTAGTTTCTCTGAACAGTTAATTCATTTCATGAGTGCAGAAGATTTTTAAGAATCCTTAGATTGCCTTCTTATCCATTTTGCCCCCTCAATCAACTCTTTGTAATAGTATCTGGTTCTTCTAATCCTATTTCGCATCTTCATTCTGCTTTATAATCCCCTCTCCCCCTTCTCTGGAATGACTCAGTTGCTGCAGTTCATCCTTCTGGTCTTTCTTTCTATGATTTTAGCATCTTGGCCAATTAAACCAGAACTTTCTCCTAGCTTCCTGCCCATTGATTCTTAGGTTTGAGTTAAAAAAATAAAAAAAAATAAAAATAAAAAAAAGTTTAATTTGTAGTAAATCCTTTTATCTTGTGTCAGTAATAATTTGTATTAGACACACGGATTTTTTTAGAAAGCTAATTCTTATTTTCATAAAACAACCCTGCTTTCCCCTGTACTGTTGACTGTCAAAACATTTCATCATTTAGGTAAACTTGATAGTCATCAAAATTATTTTTAAACACCTTCACATATCTCCTTTAAAAAGTTATTTCAGCTTCACTTTCTTCTTGGTAAACAATCTACACTTACTAATATTGTGCTTCAAGTGTTCTTACATTTCTGGTAGAAATATTTGGCTAGCCATCCCAAGCAAAACTCGAGATTTTTGCTGGGTGGAAGGGGGAGGTGGGAGGGTTTTCTACAGTAATTATGCAGCCATTCCTATCTGAAATTCATAATGGTCATGACCAATTTCAAAGGTCTTCATGAATAAAGACATCTGCCTCCGAGTGAGGCAACCGGAAGTATAAACGGGTTAAATTGTGAGCCACAGCAACCAAACAATAAGTCCCTAAGAGAACCGAAAGAAAGCCAGCATTCCTCAGTCATTCCTCCCGACTCTTCTTGGCCCCCGCCCCAGCAGCCAGTCCTCTTTTGTTGCTTGCTAGCTTCCTCTGATTGTAATTCATTCTGTATTCCTTCCTGCTCCTCTGCCTTGGCTAATTGTTCTTTTCCCACACTACAGGGTTTTAATTTCCTCATATTATGACCTTATCACCAATGTCTACACTTCCTCGGCTCTTTCTGACCTCTCTCCATTCAGCTCACTGTTGACTTTCGTGATCCTAACAAGGCTGCTTCTTCTCCACTACCCTTTAGTTTGCCAGTTGTTTAAGTGGGAAGTTACTTCTCCCTTTCCTCCCAAGGCAGCCACATCAAAATCAAGCCATTCTAGGACTCTTACCAGTAAAGAACTATGGACACGTTGAGCTCTGTGATTATTTTAGCAGACATTCAGTTGGTTCCACCAGGAAAGCTGGAAGATGGAGATACGTCAGCTCTCTGTTCCCCAGATCACTGCATTCTCCTAACAGCCTTATAGTTTTGTTTACCCTTTCTCTTTTAATCTTTGCAAGTGAAGACTGCAATAAGTTTTCTAATTTTCCCTGTGTGGCATGTTTACCCACAGACATTTTGAGCAAAGTTACTCTCAGAAAAGAAGTTCCTTCACCCTCTTTAAGACATGGGGGTGACTTTAGGAATTCTATTCTAATGCAGACTCACTGATTTCCTTTACATTGGATTAAAAGGGGATGTTCAATTTTCTACAACTGCAAACTACGCTCTTAAAAACTCTTACCATAATTACATTGGGAAAGGGGCAGATTTTATGTTAAGTATAGACCACTGTCACCTCCATCCCAGAGTGTAAAGAGAAGAAGGTGTCACACAAACTTGCTGTTGCTATTTTGTTTTTCTTTGCTCATGCAGAATTGATCTTTTTCCTGTTAGTGCCTGGGGCTGGGGACTGTTGTGTCCTCTGACTGAGGAGGTGGAGTAGCAGCCTTTGTTGTAAGACCAGGGTTCTGATTACACCTGACAGGGCTGAAACCTGACTCCTGCATGCCCCCCCATCTTCTCTTCTTCCTACAGCCACTTACAGCAGGAATGTAACAGAAGTGGTCGCTTTGATTCTGTTTGTATACTGCTTAATGATTTAACAACAACAACAAAAAACAAAAACAAAAAGTTCTTTTTTCCCCCTCCTGAAATTAGTCTCAAAGGGAATTCTCCTTTCTATATTTTTAAAAATATTACGTCAACACTCAAGGTTGACACTCAAGGTTTCTTCTCAAGGCTAAATCTTAATGTTCTGCTGAGATTCTCATAGTTCAAGAATAATCAGATTTAACAAAAAAAATTCTGCCAGAGAAAAAGGCTCAAAGAACCAGAGCCATGCAGTGATTTTGTGGTATTTGGATTCGTGTCTATAAAAATATTTGTACACCAGATGGTGGATTGTTCAGCACATTCATCCCAAGCTAAAAGTTTTTTTTTTTTTTTTAATCACACACATAAAGCACTGTGGGGTAGAAAAATCATCACTAGTTTTTTTCCCAGTCGTATTGCATGAGTAATGGTAAAAGCAACAGCTAAAACAATAAGATTACTGGGCTGCATTCTTAATGCATTGTTAGGTATAAAGATTCCACGTAGTGTTGAGAATATTTCTCCCCCTGAACAACACATATGCTAAGCACAACTCACTTTGACAGCTCACCAGTCGGACACATTTTCTAAAATCAAAATCATCTTGCTGCTGCAAGAAGCACCATGGGGTGACTGACATAGGTCTGAATTGGGAAAAAGCCAAACTAAACACTAAGCCAACAGCCTGGGGCCCCAGTCAAGGATCCAAAATGACCTTTTCTCTACAGGTTGTTTTTATTTTTAACAAGTCAGTTCTCAACTATCTGCCTGAATGGATGGGGGCAGGGAGGGGGGCTTACACAATGAAAAAACTAAAACAGGATGATAGAAAACTAAATTTATGTTTGACAGTGGAATGTATGATATGTTTGTGGGAAGGCTGTTATTTATGCCACACGTAGTGGCTGTGCTCCACTGGGTCCTGCCTTCCCATTTGTTGTGTTAGAGCAGACCTGGGCTGTTTTCTGAAGGGAATTTGCCTCCCTCCCATGGGTCTGCCTCAGGCACCCTCTTTGCTGGCCTGCTTAGGGACCTGCTTTTTCACAATTGGATGCCATGCTCTTAGGTAGAGACCTGAATCTAATCAGAAATACAGCATTTCTGCATCTTAAGTGACTGCTGGGCAATTCATTCCTGGTATTTTTGCTGCTTGAGTCTCACAAAGCTTAATAAAAGAAAAATAACATCTACAGAGAGACGGAATCCATCATTTCTTTGAAATATTTTAAACTTTATCACTGGATCAAGTCAGATAATTAACATTTCATCTTTGGACTGCATCACTTTGTCTCCTCAGAGGACTGAGTTGTTAGGGACTTGACTTTGGTATCTGGCCCTAAGTTATATCACCTGGTTTAGTTATTCTGCTATCACTGTCCCTTTAGAGGCTGCGTGGGAGAAACTTTTTTCATATCTCAAGGTTTCTGAGCATCGGGTATGTAGCTTACAAAGCATCATAAGCTCTTCTGGGTATCTTTCCAAAAGAATTAAGAGAATCATGCCAGAGTGATATATGCACATCCATGTTTATAGCGGCACAGTTTGTAATAGCTAAAACTTGGAAACAACCCATTTGCCCATCAGTTGGAAACTGGATAAAGAAGATGTGGTTTTTCTATAAAAATGGAATACTACTCAGCCATAAAGAATGAGAAAGTAGATTCCTTCATAGGAAAATGGATACATTTTGAGGATATATAGTCCTAAGTGAAATAAATAACACGTGTGTAAATACCGAATAGTTTCTCTGGTGTGGATAAACTGTAATAGTACATAAGTTCCTAATGAGATAGCTGACATTGTGAAATAGGAAGAAAAGGGCTAAAGGTGTAGGGAAAGTGGGAAGGGTAGGGGAAAGGTAATAAGGGGAAAAATATGAGAAAATGAAAAAATGGAAATGAAGTGTTTGTAAATGGGGAGGGGAGGAGGGGGTGAAGGGAGGGCAGGGACAAGGGGAAAAAATGAGAACCAAGACCTGTCACGTAAAGGTACAGATCCCAATAATGACTGTAACTGTACTGTATACCTGAAATGTACCAATAAACTCAATAAAAGAAAAAAAACAAAGCATCGTGAGTCCTTTAACTCATCTAATTCTTCGTTTCTCTGAGCCTCTCTTTGGTAATTGCTTGAATTCTTATGGCTGGAATCTCCTTGTAGAGGCTGTATTTCTTGCTTCACTTCACCTTCTTGCTCTTGCTTGCTTGTTCTGTTGTATTTCTTTTGTTTCAGTTATATTTCATGATTTATATGTCACCTAAGAAACATTTTGAAATTAGGCAGGGCTGAAACAGATATTTTTACATTAATAAAATCATTCTAATGGCGTTTCTTAAGCAAATCACAGTAAGAAAACCTGTTCTTGTTTGGGGGAAGAAAAAACTATTTTTCTCGCCCATCATGGCAACACACCTATAACAAAAAAACAGGTTAATAGGAGAAAAGCATACGATTTATTTAATGTAAGTTTTACATGGCATGACAACAACATTTAGAAGTGGATATAAAAAAACAGATAGTCATATCAAATCATGATTGGAAAAAGGGATATGATCTCATGGTAATAAACTCGGGGGAGCTTAGCAAGACCTGTTTGTTCAGATTATTTGTGTCTTCAGAAGTAAGTGCTTCTTTTCTGGGGATATAGCATGGGCACCTCTGGAATGAAGGATTTTATGGCCAGCTTCAGAGAAGGGTGAGGGTAACATTTCTGTTTCTGCCATTTTCTCAAATGCTAAGGTGCCACATTTTGATTCCCATTAGAAGATATTACCACATGTATCTTGGGGGTTGGAAGATGTTTTAATTAATCCAGATAATTGAGAATTTGATAGGCAGTGACTCCTTAGATAACAAACCCTCAAAATAAAAGTTATTTTTAATGTGAATTTGACAGAGGCACAGAGGAAATTAAAGAAATACTGGCCTTTGACTCAAGGAACAAAAGTAAACACACTGTCTTGGAGAGGACTCTTCTGCTAGAAAACCAGGGTTCATATGAAATTAGTAAGATTCCATTTGACCTTTGCTTAGTGAAACACAGTCCTGAGAAGGGCCCATCTGGGCCGAGGGCTGAAACCAAGTCCTCTTCACCTAGTGGAAACTGCCGGAAAAGGGAAGCAAGAGAGGATTCAATTCCCATAACACAATTTCACACTTCATACTTTTTTTTTCATCTTATTTATGGTAATATGAACTTAAGCTTAAGTAAAGCATAACTTGATCATTCTGTCCCCCTTGATTATGAAGCTCATTTGTGAAAATGAAGTCTACCAAATAATTCAACAATGTGATTGGCAATAAGTGAACAAGTCAACATCTTTGGCCTCAAAAATCTCTTCTCTTTTGGACCCTTTTGGTGAGTTCTTTCATTTGAACAGTATTTTTTATCTTTCATTTGAACAGTATTTACGCCTATAAGACAAATTGTGGGAGGTTCTCTAACTTATAATAGGGGGCAAAGAAAGCCACTTGAGAAGGTGGTGTTTAGATTGAAACCTGAAGAATGAGGAACTGGTCAAGAAACAGGAAAAGAAAATACAGAGTTGATGAACTGGTGTGTGCAGAGACGGAGGTGAGAAAGTGATGGCCAGGTGGCTGAAGAAGGCCAGGGTGCACCAAGGAGGTGACAAGGCACTCAGGTGAGGTCATGCTGAAGAAAGGCATTTCCTCTTCTCCCAGACAGTCTCATGGTCACCCTTCCCACCTCCTCTAGGCCTGTGCGCCGGCCACCTTCTCAGTGAGGCGAACCCTGCCCGTCTCCTCTAAACTCTAGCATACCCCTCACTCCGCTTACAGTAGTTTCCACTGCATCTATCGCCTTCTAATATAGCAATAATGTGCAATTCAGGATGCTTCATGTTTGTCTTTCTAGGGCATAAGCTTCAAGAAGGCAAGCATTTTTGTCTGCTTTGTTTCCTGATATGTCGCCAACATCTAGAACGAGGTCTGGCATTCTCTAAGTCTTCAATTAATACCTTTTCAATGGAATTGCACTCAATACATGCTTTAAGCAAGGATATGGGCTTATTTACATTTTGGGGGAGATGATTAAAAAATGTTTTAAAAATGAGTGAAAAAATGTTTTAAATACAAATATACTTTTCTGCATTGGTCTACATCACCTGCAGAATCTAAAACCAAAAGTTGACCAGGAAGATGTTAAGTTTCTTCCCTTCCCTTCTCTTCTTTTCCCTCTTTCCCTTCCCTTCCCCTTTCTTCCCCTTGCTTCCTTTCCCCTCCCCTCCCCTCCCTTCCCTTCCCTTCCCCTTTTGAATCACCCAGGTGGAGGGAAAGAAACATGAGCAACGTGGAGGCTTTAGGCACATGGGTGAAAGCCAACCACCTTACCAAGCTAAGTCAAGCAAGAGGCACAAACTGTGTGCATGACTACCAACAAAGCCTGACATGGCTAGGTTCAATGAAATGACAAGCTATAAGAGATGTGTTTGAGTCTTGTTTCTCTGTTTGGGCTTGCTACTGCCTTGAGGAAGAAAGTGTTTACTTTTCATATCATTTTTTTTTTTCAAATTTCACTCAAAAGCCAAGCAATTTGTACCGGTTAACTCTTTTAAAAGAAAACTGCTGAAAGAAATTGCCTCAGGATGGGGTGGTTATACCCCATTAAGAAGAGATCTCTTGGTTACCGCAGCCTTGGAAAGCCTGCTCCAGGCTAATTCATTCATTCAGCAAATATTTATGGAACATTTTCTATGTGTAGGACCTTGCTGGAGAGTAGAAGGTGTGGTCCTCTTACTAGTTCCTTATAAAGCTTGCCTTCTACTTGAGGAAATAACATATGTGCACAATAAGTTATATGAAGAATCAACAGTGCAACATGTGGCTTAAGGCACTCGTGATTAGTGCTAAGCAGGTGGTAGAAACAAGAAGAGGCTGTGGAATCATCCCCAAATGCCTGCCTGAGGTCTGCTTTGGTGGTATAGTGGTGAGCATAGCTGTCTTCCAAATACCTTCCAAAGCAATTGTAACTTGAACTGAATCACACTCTGTGGAGATAGTGTGATTAAAGCCAGGCTCATGGATATGACAGTGGTGACCGCCTGCTGCGGGGAGTGTGGATGAATGATTATTGGAAGGGTTGAAAAAGAAAATTGGGGCAGATACGGAGAGGCTTATATCCAATATAGAATTAGGGTGTAGAGAAGTAGTCAGCTTGGCAACTTTTTTTTTTTTTTTTTTTTTTTTTTTTTGGGACGGGGGATTGAACTCAGGACCTTGTGCTTGCGAGACAGGTGAGGTGTCACTGGACTACAATCCTGGCCTAATAGGCAAGATTTTAACTGGCAGTTTTAAGGCAGAAACATGCCATGAAGGAGCAGTATTTTTAAAAAATCTTAAGGCAAACTCTGAGCTTTGGATGATAATGATGTCTTACTACTGCTTTATCAATTATAGCAAATGTACTCCTTGGGTTCCTGGTGTTCATAGTGAGAGGTTGCGCACATGGAGGACAGACGTGCACAGGAACACTGTTCTTTCTGTTCAGTTTTGTGTATCCTAAAACTGCCTAAAACTATAGTCTATTTTTAAAAACACATTCATCTGGCACCTGAGTGCAAAATGGACAAGGAGTAAATCAGGTTGAGAATATAAAGTAGCAACAACACAATTAGGTATCAGCAGTTGAAGGGGATCTGTCTATGCAATCAAGGTTTATGATTTATATAGCTAAATAACAAACCCATATCTAGAAGGGAGAAAATTCTAAAGGCAAGGAACCCAGCCAGGAAGCAATAGTAATGCCAGAGACCCAAGATGAGAAGGGCCTAGAACAAAGTGTCGGTAAAGAAAAACAGAATGAGTGTGGGCGTTGATTGGAAGGAAATCTCTTGGTATTTGATGATTGATGGGATTAGAGGTGAGAGTGAGGTCAGCAGAGGTGACCCTGAGGTTTGGCCAGCTGGGTGATAATTGCACTGAAGTCAGAAATAGGGAAATCAAGATAGGAAACTGGGCAAGGAGACAGAAAACTGGGCAGGGTTGCCTTTGGATTAAGGACAGCACCCCTCTGAGGAGGTGGGAATCAGTCAGTAGCACTTCCAAAGCACCAGGCAAAGTGCACATGCGTCCACAACATCTCCATGGAAGGCAAGTTGTGAATGAGTTCTCTAAGCCAGAGATTCTTACCCTGAAGACAGAACAACCTTAATGGGAGGATGTTTCCTGCAGCATTTTCAATACCGTGCTCTTTTTGGCCCCAAGAAATCTGAGAGGAACAGAAAATTGTGTTATTTGCTCCAGGACTCAGAATAAAGACAGGACGCAGTGGTTGCTTCTCACCTTTTCCGGGAGTGACCCAGAGGATGTTTACAGGAAAGATTCCTTTTTGCTCTGACTTGTAAAGCACTTAGCTAGAAACAGGGGCCCTATTGTAGAAGTCTTAGGAGGTCATCTCAGATACAAAGAAAAGATAAAACTGAAGAGACAAAGCACCCTTGCTTATCCTTCAAAAAGAAGCAACAATCTGCTGCCTGACTTGCAAGCTCAAGGACCCAAGTTTGATTCCCAATACCAGGAAAAAAAAAAGAAGATGAAGAAGCAACAAGAAGCTGGGGAGGGGATGGGAATAATCTTCCTTAACAGAGTGGCATCTCTGTTCCTTTCTCTCCCTGACTTCAGCTTCACTTTCTCCCATTCCCTCCTCTCTCTAAATTGCCTCCCTTCTATGAAACAAAACTTGTAGTTGGGTGGGGACAGGAAAGTTTATAAAATAAATGTTTTCCCAAAAATCATAGGTTATTTTAACAGACCAGCCATCATCACTGTTGTTATTACAGTTACATCAGGTGAAATGATAGTGTTTACCAAGCACCCATCTAATTTGATGTGCACTGGAGTTAAGACTTGTCTGCCTCTCATGTTCAGTGCAGCTGTAGAGGTGGCCTCCAGTCCCCAGGTGCAAATCCTTGCATAGCACTTCCTTGTGGGGTGGCCGTGGTCAGTTACCCAGTGTGTCCATCGAGGGAGAGAACACAGCAGTGGTGCTCACACACACAGCGTCATGGTTTTGGTTCTGTGAGGCAACCATGGAAAGAAATTAGCAGAGTGGTTGAGAAGGCTGTGAACACAGGAGCAGATCTAGACTTTGGCAGACCTAAGATCATATGTCTTTTAAGGTCTTCTTTGATAAAGAGAAGAGAATACTTTTGCAAGTTTTATTAGAATATATGAACAAACTGCTAAGACCCTTGTCAGGAAAAATAGGAAACTTATTAAAGTGAGAAATTGTGAAAGCTAAGCTTCATCAGCTTCAAGGTAAACCTATCTCTACATAGATGTTGTCCCTTTCTGTTGTTTACTTATTTGATAAATGCGCATGGAGCTTTTACTATGTGCCAGGCAGGGAGCTTTCAGCTAGGTGTTTGGTGTGCTGCACATCTGGAAATTCTGTGCCCTAGCCAAAGGGAAGGTCATTAAATATCAAAGCAAACTAAACTCCTTATCTAAAGAATGTGGTTTGATTCGACCAAACATCCCAGAGCTAATAAATGGAGGCACAGCACTTTGCAGACCTCTTTACCAGACGCTCTGCACCAAAGGAACTGATAAGCTATTTGTGGTTACTAATGAGCTATTTGGGGCTATTATTTTATTTTTCCATTATTTACAATATTAACAATATTTACAATATTAACTGTTTTTAAGTGTGCAGTTCAGTGGTATTGAGTACATTCATAATGCTGTGCAACACCCAACTCCAGAACTCTTTTCATCTTGCGAAACTTACACTCTGTATCCACTAAATACTAACTTCCATCTCCACCCCTTCTTGTTCCTGGGAACTGCTGTTTTCTGTCTCTATGATTTTGACTTTTTGGGGGGTACCAGGGCCAGGGAGGCATGATGCCACTGTTTTTGAATATTTAAAAGAGTCAAATACTCTGCGTATTTGTCTCTTAGATTTTTTTTTTTCTTTTTGGAGAGACAGGGTCTTGCTATGTAGCCCAGTCTGCCCTTGAACTCTCTTTGTAGTCCAACGTGTCCTTGAACTCATGGTAATCCTCCTGCCTCAGCTTCCTGAGTGCTGGGAGTATGGCATGCGCCACCATTCCTGGCTGTATCTTAGATTTGTAAGATAGATACAAAGGTAAGTGCCCATCACACCTACAGAATAATAATGTTCTCAGGGTTCATCTATGAAGTAGCAAATATCAGAATTTCCTTCCTTTTTAAAGCTAAATAACATTCCTTTGTCTGAATACCCCACCCCACCATCCACCCACCAGTGAACACTAGGGTTGCTTCCACACTTTAGCTATAGTGAACAATGCTGTTATGAACATGGGTATAGAGTAAAGATTAGTTTTATGTGGCCTTATTAAAGTTTATTCTAAAGTTTAAAACATTTACATCTTCATGATTCCTAATTAGAATGTACTTGGACTAGTACTTTCCTTGGCTTACATGTAAATTAAATAAAGCAGTCAAATACACACAGAAGCCAGTAATCATATATAAGTTCCTTCTTGTGTCTGAACCTGTGTATCAACGCCGTAGAAAAGGACGATGGGTCAGGGAAACCCTGAAATCAGATATAGGAGCCTGAATGTCAGTCCCATCACTGTAGTCCGTGCTAACTATGATATTGCAGCAAACTCTTTCATCTTGCTGGGCCTCAGTTTCCTCGTGTCCTATGAGTGATTTAGACAAAGGGTCTCTTTCTAGGCTGACCAATCCAGCCTAGTTTTTTAAATCACAAAAAGTCTTATATCTGGGGAAACCTCTCAATCCTAGGTTGGTCACCCTGCTGTCAGCAAGTACTCAAATCTGATACCAGGTCTGGTTTTTTGTTTATTTGTTTGTTTTGTTTTGTTTTTGCGGTACTGGGGATTGAACTCAGGACCTTTCACTTGCCAAGCAGATGTAGCACCACTGAGCTACATCTCCGTCTCTGATACCAGGTTTTTTGTTTGTTTGTTTTGTTTTTATTTATTTATTTTTGGTACCAGGGATTGAACTCGGGTCCTTGCGCTTGCAAGGAGGCCACCGAACCACTGAGCTAAATCCCCAGCCCCGATACCAGGTTTTTTAAAAGGTACTAGTTAAGGTTATTTATTCCCTCCATCCTCCAGGAAATAACAAAAGGGGCTTCAATAGCTGAGTCAGAACAGGACAAAATTCCAAGTATATAATTTTTAACAGGCTTTTTGGGTAACGGTTGATTTTAGATCCGGTTATGAAGTCATCCCCCACAGATGTTCTAGTTAGGGAGGTTTTTATGTTAACGATTAGACAAGAACAGTTAAAAACTCAGCTGAGCAACTTAAAATATTTTCTACTTTTAATAACTAGCTTGGTTTCTTCTGGAACTGTAAAAATAGGTAGGCTATTTTTCTCCCTCAAAGTGCATACTTCTTTGTCATTGCAGGTAAGGGAGAGTGGAGACCACCAAAACAGAACAGCGACAACAAACAAAATTAAAATAAAGTGGACGGCTAAAAGGAAGTTCAGCCTGAAATATGCTGAAATGCTCCCCTTCTTACACTGGAATGTGCTGGTGTGCCTGTGTGAAACTGCAAAAGAGCCCCCTTCACTGGGAAGGATGATTCAGCCCAATTCCAGGTATCAGCACACAGGCAGGGCTGGTTTGAATGAAGTCAATGAAGATTTGAAAACTATTAACTTCTAGGAGTGAAATGGGGTCCTGGTTGATTCAGGCAAAAGAAGCACGTCTTTGTTACTTCCTCATTGCTGAGACACAATAACCAACACTCACCGTTTAAAGGACGAAAGGTTTATTTTGGTTCACGGTTCATTGACATTTTAGTTCACAGTCCGTTGGCTCCAAGGCAGGATGGCACTGCAGAGGAGAAGCGCCTTCATGGCACAGCAACAGGAAGCAGAGGGGGGGGAGGAGTGAGAAAAGATAGCCCCTTACAGGCCAGGTCTGTGACCCACCTCCTCCCTTCAGGCTTCACCTCCCAAATCTCGTGTCGCTATCAACTCATCAGTGGACTCCCCCACTGGTGAATACCATGCCCCGTGACCCAGTCACCTCCCAAGAGCCCCACCTGTGAGCCCGCCAGGCTTTGGGGGGGACATCTACATATAAACCATAACAAGGGCCAGGGATTTAGCTCGGTGGTTAAAGCGCCTACCTCGCAAGCGCAAGGTCCTGAGTTCGATATCCGGTACCAAAATAAAAAACAAAATAAGCCATGACAAAGCATTTCAATTCAGTTCTGTCAGTTGCAAATTTTTACATTATTTGGGTCTATATATATAACTATATATATATAGTTATCCACAGATAACTGTAATGTATTACTGATTTGATTGGATCTTGACATAGGCCCTAAAAGGCAAGTGAGGTCTTCTCTACACAAGTATATAGAAACCAAAAAGAAAAGTTAAGCCTCTACATCAATTATCATTTCCAATAGACAGCGTTTTAGAGATCCTGTCTACTGTCTATTAAAACAGAATCACTTTGTAGACTAGGTGATAATTTACCAAATGTTTCCACATATACATCATTTAAACCCATATGTTAAACTAATGTATATAAAGTTCCACTTTTTCCTGGTTTTTAAAATACAGAACAGAAATCAAGAGAAATTAGAAATCTAGTCCACATAGGTAAATATGGTAGAGAACAGTGCTCTACTCAAATCTAGGTCTTCTGAGTCAAAATTATGACTTTTCACCAAAAAGCACAGGCAAGCCAAGTGTGGTGGCACACAGCTATCATCCCAGCACTAGGGAGACTGAGGCAGGAGAATCATTGTGAGTTTGAGACGAGCCTGGGCTATACAGTGAGATGAAGGCCAGCCTGAACTACATAATGAGAGCTTGTCTGAAAAAAAAGTATTTTTTAAAGGTAAATATGTAGCTTTTTAAAGAAAATTATTCCTTGTAGCTTTTTTTGTTTTGCTTTGTTTTGTTTTGTTTTGTTTTGCTGATCTTTCTGATATTGTGGGTATCATCTAAAGATATCTTAAAAGACCAGGTCAAAAATGGTGTTTAACAATACCTAGAGTAATTCAAAGAGCCAGTAAGAGGAAAAGAAGCCAGCAAAAGGATGTGAATCTTATATTTTGGGCTGGGACAGACTACCCAGTCATGCTATTTCCTAAACCAAGGGAGGTAAGAGAGGAAACTTCATCTGTAAGAATATTTGAGGAAGAACCCTGGCTTTGTGTGTAGGGAGCTACAGATGACCTCTGGGAACATAATTCAACAAGAACCATGGATGCTTGGGTTCAGTGAATCCAAATGCTTATCTATACTTTGACAGAGCTCCCGCATGTTCACTGCCTGCCTCCTCCAATACCACCAATGAAAAAGGAATCCAGCTAAGGAGGTTGAGGAGTGGCCCCTGAGCTTGAAACATTGGACAGAAGGATGGGAGGGGCATATTTCTGTGTTTTCCTCCCCACTGTTTTTCTGTGAACCTAAAACTGCTAAAATAAATAGATAAAGTCTTTACAGAAGAGGGGAAGGAGGGAATCTGATTTATATAATGGCAATAAGTCTAGTGAAATGAGGACCAAGGACTGACCACTGGATTTTGCAACATGGAGTTCACTGGTTATCTCGAAAATAGACCAAAGGTAAGTGGAATGATTGGGAGGAAAGCTTGACTGGAATAAGTTCAAGAGGAAAGGGAGGCAGAGACGGCTAGGAATTTTGTCACAATGAAGTGCAGTGATAAGTGGGAAAGGAGATATAAGAGGAAGGTGTTTATTGTTTAAGGATGGGCAATATCACAGAGCGATTGCATGTTCATCCAAATGGTGCAGCAGAGAGAAGGAAAAATTAATGATGCAGGAGTAACAATTCCAAGAGCAAAGTCCTTATATGAGGGTGGAGGTCCAGGAAATAGGCAAGGGTTGACCTTGGAGAGGAATGTGGACTTTCAGAGAAGCAACCTTGTAACAGAAGGGAGGGCAGAATATTCGGATACAGCTGCCGAAATTTGGTAGATGTAGTGAGTGATATATATGTGGAAATTCTCATTATATTTGCATTTTCTCAGTAAAATAGGAAGCAGCCTAGCAGATGAAAGCAATGAGCCTGAAGGATAGTACCACGAAAAAAAGAAAAAATAGAAGAAGAAGGGGGGAGGGCGGCTGGAGGACAGAAAATAATCAGTGAGATGTTCTTTTTAGGAGAATGGGAGAGTGAGTAGACTTAGGAAATCTGCTAGGATAGCCAGACAGCAGAAAGGATTTGGGTCATTACAGATTTGATACTATTATGGGTTCTTTAAGGCATCGAGTTCCAGGATACTCTGCCTCCACCCCTCAAATGCAGTATCTTTTAAAACATAATATACTCTATCAGTTTACTCAATCTAACAAATAGTTGTGTTGCTCTTGGTCAAATCCCTGGAGAATAGAGGCAGTTCTGGGCACCCTCTGTTCAGGGATAGGCTGGGAGGTGGGTAAGGAAAACAGAAAGAAAGAGAAAAAAAAAAAAAGATGCCTCCATGGCTTTTTGCCTTGCCTCCATCCCCCACAAACAGGGAAACCAAAGCTCTTGAGGGCGGCAAGCTCTGTGTAGGAGGGAGGGGATGTAAGAGCTAGAAAATGTGATTTCTATTTTAGAGCCCAATGAACTTCTACATATGAATCCCTGGAATTGGACAGGCCTACCCACCAAGGCCCATGGTCCAAAAGACCAGCCCAGACCTCTCCAACGGGATCTCGTCCGAAATTTACAGCGTGAGGAGAAAAGGTGGAAAATGAGTGTCTCCTGCCAAGCGGGGAGAGGCAAGAAAGATACCTCCCACCTACTGCAGTACTAGTTTCTTCTTCCAGAGTTATCCAGCAGGTATATTTCCATCTGGTGGGGATGGACTGGGAGGGTTGAGTAGAAGAGTGGAAAGAAGGCAGGAATGAGACACTGACTCGTGCATTCCACAGGGACGAAAACAGCGGGAAGAGGAAGGAAAAGTTCCTTCCTAATAGCCATGAAGGAAAGTGAGACCTTGGCTTCTAGGAGGGTACCCTGTCCTATAACTATGCCTGTGACCGCCCCCCCCAGTCCCCTTCAGTCCTGAGCTGAGAGACTGGGGGAAATAGGAGAGTGTGAGCAAGGAATCAATCGCCCTGATGGCCTACAAATCTGACCTAGCAAACAAGGAAAGTGAGACAGCACAAAGGACATAGATGAATTGAATGGCAGGCCAAGTGAGGTATAAGCATACTTGACTTTGAACTTTTGAAAGGAATGCACTAGAAAGATCACAGTCTCACATATTGGAAACTGCTATTATGGTCCTCATGAGTCTTTTTTATGTTTAGTCCCAAGAGGGTTAAATGTTTTCAGTGGTCTTACATGAGAATGTTTCAAGTATATTTGTAAATACCCTGGTTCTTCTTACTGAGCATGCTCTAATCCACTCCTTTGAAAGGATGGCACCTGGAGACCACTGCAGGACTTTATCCTGTGGGAGTAGGCAGAGGATGACCATCTTCCCTGGCTGGAGACACCCTCCCTCACTGTGCAAACTGAGAATTGCATTTCTCCTTGGTATTTTCTCCCACTTGCTCTCATTTCTCCTTGATTCTTATTTCACTTTGAGCTCTTTGTCCTACTACATCTGTGTTTTTGCTTAAGTATTGCTGGTGAGAACTCCACCACCCTCTATCTGGACAGTGTGTATGTGTGTATGTGTGTGTGTGTGTGTGTGTGTGTGTGTGTGTGTGTGTGTGTGTGTGTGATGGTTGTTATTCTGGACTTTGTGTGTATATTTACCCATAATAAATAGCAAGATTTACAGAATTGATTCATTCAGGGTCATTTCAACCCCTACTAGACTTCTCTCCCTACTTCTGTGTTCCTTTGTACTTACTCACAACAAAATTTATCTATGTGCAGTGTATCTGAGATCGGAAAAATTGTGGACATGTTTGGAACAGCTGTGGGTGTTGTGGAGAGAGCTGATAAGGAAGAGCACTTTCCAGAGTGGTAGGCCCTGAGATCAAAGCCCTTTGCAAATATTTTGATAGGAGGCAGCTGTGTTATAACAAAACCAACCCTAACCTCCCCTCAGAAGACCTTTCTCTAGCTTTTGTGATCCTGGTCAACTGACTTACTTCTTTGAGTCTCAGTTTCCTCACCTATCAAATGGAAATTATGATCTCTGTCCCTCATTAAGTTTGTTGTGGGGATGAAATAGGAGTACCTGAAAGTATGAAACAAATGTTACAAAGTATTATTGTACAGTTAACAATACAATTATAAAAGAAAGTGGTTAACCCCAGCCTCCTGAGGGCTCCTCCCATTCACACACCCACCCTGTTGTACATTTAGGAATGTGATCCCAGGGAGCCGGAAGAGGGAATAGAAGAGAAACAAGGAAGAAGGGAGGCCAGTACAAGAACTGGCTACTAATTTGCTTGGGGCTATGGGTGGCTGAAACTTGATCCTACAGAACCTGAGAAGACTTAAGTGAAATGTGTCTTAGAATTGCTCTCCCAGAAGGAAAACTTACTCAAAGGCTCCTATCCCCATATATCAGGGGTGGCCCGTGGGCAATGACATCTTCAGGGTTGCATGCATGAGCAATAAATGGACAAACAGAAGCCCCAGGGGAGGGAGTGAAAGGTAGAAGGCAAGTAAAGAGGCAAGACCACGTCAGCTGATCCCTTTCAAACAGGCTCAAAATAGGCTCTAGTGGTACTGGCTGCGGTCCGAGCTGACAGCGGAGGATCTGAAGTGATGTACAAGATACAACCCCATCTGACAAAAATGTGCATTAAGAAAAATGATGTCATGATTTGGATTATTTATAGCAGGTGTTTCATAATGCCATCTGATTATGGAAAACAAGGGTAGAATTTAAACATCAGTTTTTAATCCTATTTTTT